AGCTGAAATAAACATGGGTGTCAACATGTAGAGCCCTGGGCATGCTCCGTGGAGAGACTGAGGTGCACTTGGGGCCAGGTAGCTGATGGGACAAACTCGTTTCCAGGCAGTGGTGTAACTCAGAATGACTGATCAGGAAACTGCATGTCCTTATAGGATGTGCAAGAGAAGAGAGCCAGCTGTGGACTCTATGCCCATAGTCAGTGCTGCTTTTGCTATTGCTTAACTCCAGTGTATGAGTGAGGAGGCTGAGGCCAAGGACACTCGGGCAGCAGGGGGAGGAGCCGAAAGGTCTGGGTTTCTTCTCTGACTCTCTATTGTTTTGACAGGTAAGTGACATTAATCTCATCTCATCTGCTCCTACTTCCAGGAAGTTGATTCCCTAACTGCTGTCTTCTCTCCCCTGGCTCTGAACCGAACTTCCAGTGGCCCTTTGAAGACTTCCACCTGCATGTCTCTCCAGCGTCACGAACGTGGCACGTTTAAAACAGCTTATTTCCTGCTCCACTCTCCATCCTGCCCCTCACTCCCAGTCAGCGTTCCTTCCTCCCACCTTCTTACTTCTAATGGCACCTTTCCTCAGTCTTCCAGCCTCAAATCTTCATGGACAATTTTCTTCCTTAACTCATTCTTCTCTGCCTTCCTCAACCAGTGCATTTCCGTACACATTTTCTTTTCATTTCCACGAATACCTCAGGTCTAGGGTTTGTAACCTCATTCTATACAAATACTATTGCAGTAGACTCTAAACTGGCCCCCACCTTCCCGTCTTTTCCTACTCTGACTCATCCATACGTATTGCTGAATAATTCTTCCTAAACCACTATTGACTCTATCACTATGCTGGTTAAAAACCTTCAGTGGCTCCCTAGGGCCCCTGGATCTTAGCGTGGGAGTTTATATTTATCCTTATTGACTTTCATCTGGCTAGATTTGACCATCATTTCAGTCTGCCTGGAACTGTTCATATTATTGATCTCCCCCTTTATGAACTTGTACTGCTTATGAACCTACATAAGCAGAATAATTCTGGGTTTTTTTTACCCAGCTAGATTATAAACTCTTTGAGGATAAAGGTCTAGTCTCAGAGATGTCTTATTTTCCCCACAGAATTCAGAGTGTTTCATACGTACTTACTGACCCATTCGTTATTCAGTTAAGGGATGTGGATGCAACAGCAAGGAAATGTGGCAAAGGGATGAGGCAACTTGGATGGTGAAATTCAGAGGTTTTCATAAAACCCAGAAGACAAGAAGGAGTCAGCAAGGAGACATTTTAGAGGTTGGAGTTGAATAGATTCACAGTGGGCATTTTTTTTTTTTGGCACATGATAGCCATCCTTCCTTCTGTTGGCAATAGCACTCCTCCCACCTACCCCACCCGCCCCCCTAGATATTCTCAATCAGAAGTCGGCCTGTGGTCCAAGCCAATGAATGAGCATATTACCTGTCCTGTTGCTGTGATTGGTTCAGATATGAGCATGTCTCACCCTTATTTGTGCCAATAACAGTCAATCACAGGACTAAATACCTCTTGGGGGGAAATTTTTCTCCTGTGGTCCTAAGATAGGAGTGAGATGGAGAGCTGCTGGCAGCCTTCTTGCCACCAGGAGGGCAGGCCTTTCTGAGATGAAGGTAGCAGAGAAAGACATGGAGCTGAGGGGTGCAGAGAAACGTGGTCCTGATGGTATCACTTGGCCCCTAGACCCAGCCACAATTGAAGGTAATCTAGATGGGGATTTTAATTTCCATTTTCCAAGTCAATATATCCCCCTTTTCCATTTAACCCAGTTCATGTTTGATGTTTCATTACTTGTAACTATAAGAGATTTAAGGAACTCAGTATCAAGTCCATCGATTTTTAGAAAACAAACAAACAAACAAACCTGATTGAACTGCCAGGGCCCCATCTCTTTGGATTTCCAGTTTCCACATCTTGACATTTTAGGTATTTGGGTTTGAATTCAAGATTCCTTGACTAAAACCCTCCCCCTCAAAGACTCATTTATTTAAACCCCTTTATTTAACAGATGAGGGAGCTCAAGTTCAGAAACATTAAGTGACTTTCTCAAGATCACACAGCTAGCAGCAGAGCTAGGGCTGAAACCAGGGTCTCAGAATTCTTAGTCCCATGCTATTTCTTCTTAAAAACATAAAAGGTAAGACAAACAAAAGTGATAAAGATGGCCAACATTTTATTGCATGCCTTGTTGTTCATTGTGCCAACAGCTTCACATGTATTTACATATTTGAGTCTCCACAAGGCCATAAGAAGTGAGTGCTATCACCATCTCCATGTTTAAGGATTTGAGACCTGGAGAGGTTAAGTCAGCCTCTGGTTACATAACTAGGAAGGGACAGAGGTCAATTCTTCCCCAAGGCAACTTGGTCAAGAACTCCTGAAGCATATTTGAGAAGAGAGAGGTAGGGGCATGTGAAAAGCAGTTGCCCTGCCCCATATCTCCCAGCCAACCTGAATCTACCTGCAGCTGCCGGGGAAGGCACACCAGCTGCTTTCCCCCTCAAGGCCCTGCAGCTCACTTCTCTGCTGGAGGACTTTCTCCTGCTCGTTGCACACCCTCCATGAGTACACTGGTGTCAACAGGAAGTGAAGAGGAGCTCATGTCCCTGGGCCACCCTCTACCAGTGGGGAATGGGAGTTGGTGGATAATGCCCAGTGGGATGATTCTGAGGTGTGTTCCACATGGCTTCTCAGAGGGTCCCAGGTTCCTCAGGTGCCCTCAGTAGTAACCTCCTCATTGATGCATGAGTTATTGGTTTTCCCCCTCCCTTATGTTCCCGCTGCTTCAAGTCTGCTCCCAAGGATTATCACCAAGAAAACTGCTTGTACTCAAGGTTTTGTCTCAGGACCTCTTTGGGGAGGAATCCAAGCTAAGACACTAGTTTAGAGGGACGTATTTAGAGCCCTTGAACATTCTGTCTAGAAAGGGAGCACTATAGGAATTCTGCCTTGACTCTCCTAGAGGGAAGAGGACAAAAATGTGAAAAGAGATGTTTATAAAGGTGAATGTTTTCAATGTAAGAGCTGGAAGTGAAGTTAAAAAAGAAGTCTTTAAATGTCATTTGCCACACCTTGAGAGCAGCGCCTGTTGGCCCTTAGACCTATCTCTAGAGGGTTAAGGTAGACGGGTGTACCCTAAAGCCTCTGGTTGAAGGGAGGAGGGGTCAGAAAACGCAAAAGGATTCCTTCTTGGTCTTGCAGTGTGATTCAGTCCTTCCCTCATTTTGTGCGTTCAACTCAGAGATAAGATGACGCTTCTTGTTTCACGATATTTCAAAAGGCTCTTGCGATGGAAGGTAACACAGCACCTTTTTGTATTCCCAAGGAGCGGACTTTCTGAAGCTCTAATCCTTAAGCATTGGTTCTATTAAGTTTCCCCAAGGAGCTGGTGTAATCAATTTTCATATTCACAGGCCAGGTGTAAGATTTTGGTGCCTTCCTATACACTTTAGAGGCATAGTCCCCACTCTTGGGGGATTTAGACATTCCATTTTATTTAGTTTGATTTTATTGAATGCCTCTTCTAACTAAAAGTGATGGATAGCATACATTTGTTTCTTAAAAAAATAAATACCTTGAGGTTAACTTGCTTAGACATTTTTGGAGAAAATATTCTACGTCTCTTGAGATATCTTGAGATAATATTAGACATCCCTCTGTGTGTCTCAGTTAGGATTGAGGGTGGATGCTCTAGGATGGATACGTCTCTATTTTATGGAGATGTTAGGAGGACTAAATGCAATGAAGTACTTAGCACAATTCTTCATATGTGGTGAGTGGTGAATAAATATGATGATGATGATGATAATGAATCAATAGTGTTTTCATGTAAAGCAAAAATTTTCTTCCCTGGATTCCTAAAACAATTCTTATTTAATGTCTATGTAAAATTATCTATGAGGAAATCATTGGTCTCTGGAATTTTCTGTTTTGTTTCCTATTGTGTTCTTGTTGTGGTTGAATTATGTTAGACTTGATTTCAGTTTCTCTTGAAACCTTGGTTGCTGGGAAGTTACCCAGTGGCTGAACATGGTAGTAACAACTGCTATAAGAATATCCCTACAGACTATCAGGCAGCAAGATCTCTTAATAAATCTTGAGCCTGGTCTGAAGGTTAATGACTTTGAAGGCAGCCATAGTTGGCCAGTCAACCAAAGCCACATCAACTTTATTAATAAGATTTTGTGGAGTCCTTATCTATTTATGCATCAGTGGGCATCCTAGCAACAGAGCCCTTCTCTGGACTGCCCATGAACATTTTCAGTTTCTGGTTTCTGCGATACTTTCCGAGTACAGATGGATTTGTGTCCTCAACTGCAGGCGACCTAAGTGATTTTCATCACTTAGGGCTGAAATGCCTTTCCTTATGAAAAAAATCACTTATTAAATATACTTGGCTTTAGACGCCTTATGTGTTTTCTTGGGAGAAACTGTGAAGTCATTAAGACAGCTTAATGTGTATCCTAAATTCACCAAATCTGCAGGACAAATCCCAGCAACCCAGATGTCAGTGTGCCCTGCATACCTGTGAATGCTACCTCTAATTCAGAACGGGAGGTGTGGAGAAGGTACAGGAGCCTGGGTACTTCCAATAGCGATGTACGCAAAGCCACTCCCTTAGCCTGACACAGCTTTGCCCCCCCCCCGCCCCACTCATCAGCCTGTGAGCCCCCTTCACTCGGCTCAGGTGCTCTAACTAGAGACCCAGCAATAGGTAAATATAGACCTCTGAGTTGTTTCCAAAATCTCAGTTATTTACCTGGGTCAAGAGAGTAATTTGGTGTTTGGGGAAATAATTTTCTCAGCAGGCTCATGCAGCTACAAACCAAGAAGGTGCAGAGATTGGTTAAAACCATGGATTTAGGGTCAGTCAGACACGAGTTAGATTCCTGTTAGGACACTCACTACTTTATGACACTAGACAAGCTACTGAGTCTCTGTGATCCTCAATTTCTCTATTTCTAAAATAGGGTTAATGATGGCAAAGATGATGGTAATTACACCCTGTGTTGAGCACTCACAATGCCCTGGGAACTGTACTAAGTGCTTCCTGTACATCGTTTTGATCATCTTCACAACTCTTTGGGACGTATACCATCACAACAGATAGTGCTCTGTAAGTAGTCGTTACCGTAATGTCCACTACAAATGCCACCACCCCTGTTACTCCAGAGTAACATTCCCAGTCCCAGACACTGCTGCTAGGATGTGACAGATATTCTCACCTGCTTTCTTGAAGCACCAAAGCCTTTCCCTTTTTGTTCTAATGCTAGATCTATCCAAGATGCACTGATATAAGGAGATTTCTCTCCATCATTTATTTTTCTGAGAGTTGTGGAGTGCATGTAATTTTATCTTACATTATTTAGGGATGTTGAGCTTGTCTACTCCAGGTTTACTTAATGAAAAGACCTAGATCAAGAATTTTTCTATAGAATCAGGCTGCTTTAAAACTGAACAAAAATTTTAAACACATGAACAAAAATAAGAGCATCAATGATAAAAATCATCTTCCCAATAATCCTGTAAAAGTCCCTCTGACTCGGGTATTGAATTTTCTTTGACACAGTCGGGAGACAATGTAATTCAAGCTGTTCTGTAACAGCAGTCCTTTGTGACTCTAGCTCTGTTTTACCAGTGATCTGTTCTATTAATGCAGATGCCAGAGGAGCAGCAGTCCTGATCAAGACAAGGCCGTCAGCCTCCAGGAAGGTAAAATTTCTACTGCCAAAGACAATATAATATCCATTTCTACCTCTGGCTGTAATTTATTTGTAGTGTTTGGGTGGTGATTTAACCCATAATGCATTGCATTCCAAATTACAGTATGCTAACCATCTAGTAAGCTATCTTACACAATTAAACAGGCTGAAGAAACCCTGGAGTGCTCGTTACTGATGTAGAGAAGCACTTTACCACAGGTAGAGTCCTGTACTGCATTACACTCTAAACCCCTGAACCCATCCCAAGAAACATCACAGACACAGAATTACTCATCCTTTCCTTAAAGTGGCATATTTATTTTAGTTGGAAATTGTAATTTTCTACAACCTGAAGTTGAGACTTTTTTAATCAGGCACAGTTGCATGTAAGTCTATGCAGTGCACAACTGTCTTAATTTCCATAGAGAGGTGAGAAGGAAAGTAAATAACCTAACTTCAGAAACTGCACTGCTTTTGGAATACAGACTCGACTGCACTATTGCTTGGCTCATGTGGGAGCTTTGGGGAAGGGGAGCTCGTCTGCTCACTTTGGGGAGATTTGGCTGTGAGCTGCCATTTGGAAATGTCCCCTGTCGAGGACTGTGAGTTGGAAGCCCACTCGGGAGGCTTTTTCAAGGAGTATCTGGAACTTTCTACTGCATGCACTAAGACTAGGCAGAACCCAGGGAGCAGATTTATACCTGGGATTGGCCTGTGTGGCCTTACAAGGTTTCTTCTAGTTTAATGGAGTCTCTACTGAGAGACTGTGACACCACCACTCACTCCAAAAGCCAAGGTTGATACAGAGAGCACTGAAGGGAGCCATGGCTGCAGTATTCTCAGCCAGCTCAGTAAAATGGTAATCAGATGATTTGCAAACTTAATGAAAATCAGAATCCCCTGTTGGGCCTGTTAAACACACTGATGCCCTGGGCCCAGCCAACAGAGACTTTGATTCAGGAATTTTGTCACAGGCCCTGGAACCGTTTTTTTTTTTTTTTGTCAACCTTATTGAGATATAATTTACAAACAATAAAGTGGACTCATTTTAAGCCCAAAGTTCAGTCAGTTCTGATGAAAGCATACACCCCTGTAACCACCACCACAATCAAGATCTACATTTCCATCACCCAAAAACGTTTCCTCATGCCCTTTGCACTCAATGCCCCTACCCCCCAAACTCCTGGCCCCAGGCACCCATTGATGTGCTGTCACTATAATTAATGTCTTTTCTAGAATTTCATAAAAGTAGAAGCATGCAGTATGTATTATTTTGTGTCTGGCTTATTTCTCTGAGCATAATATTTTAAGATTGATCTATTTTGCTGCATATATCTTTGAATCATTCCTTTTAATTGGTATAGAGTATTCCTTTGTGTGGCTATATCACAGTTTGTTTATCCATCCACTTTTCGATAGATATTTGGGTTGTTACAGAGTTTTAACATTGAGGATAAAACTCTATGAACAATCATGTAGAAGTCTGTGTGGAACTGCCAGCCACACGACAAGTTTATGTTCAATTTTATAAGAAACTGCCAAGTTGTTCTCCAAAATGGCTGTGAAACCCTGAGTAATTCTTAGTCAAATCCCTTTCTCCTGCCTTCCCTAATCAAGGTGGTCTTACGACTTGCAGGTTCTCCAGGCAGCATGTAGCTTAAACGGTAAGATGCTTGCCTGAGTTGTTTTCAGGAACTTGGAGTCAGCTGTGTCTAGTTGGAGCTGAGCTGGTTAAGACTGGATAGGACCACTGACCCTCCAACTGGACATGTGTGAGTGACCTCTCTGTGACCTTTAGACATCAGAGGGCTGAAAACTCCACCCTCTGATCCTGCCAAGTGCCTGCACATTTGAGTGCAGAGGCCCTGTATCTTAGTTACACCTGTGCAGAAAGATTACCATTACCACATCTTTTACCAATCACATTTCTCCACGCTGCCCACTCCCTCCACACCTCAGACGCCCTGCTGCTTTATTCCTTATTCCATAAATACCCCGAGCCCCTTGCCTTAGGGAGGCAGATCTGGATTCTGGATCTGAGATTCCACCCCTTCCACTCCCAGCTCTCTTGGCTGCCTTGCACACATACCTTATCTTTGCTGCAAACCTCAAGGTCTCAGAGTTTTGGCTTGCTGTGCTTGGGGCAAAATAACCCTGATTTGGTAACAGCTGCACCATTTTTAGATTCTCACCAGCACTGTTTGAGAGTTGTAGTTATTCCATGTCCTCACCAACACTTGGTATTGTCAGTCTTTTTAATTTCAGCCACTCTAATTGGATACCAGTGTTTTAAAAAATCACCTAGGTGATTCTGATGCACACCAAAGTTTGAGAACTCCAGCTCTTATAAAATCAATAGCTTCTGACAGCCTGAAAACAGCTCAAGCCCTGAGTCCCAACCTCAGCTCTGAGCCTGCCAATGCTGTCTTACCCCTATGCTTGCCCCTAATAAACAGGATCCTGGGTCTCGATCTTTTCCATATCCAGGCTTCCCACCTCTCTACCCAGTGCTATGTGCTATCCTCACATCTGCCAGCTACAAAACTAGTGACCCTGGAACTGAATTGTATTGCATGAGTAGATGCTGCAGGGTGGTAGGGCTCACATGGCAGGCAGAGGGACCAGCAAGAACAAAGACTTAGAGGCATGAAATAGCCTGTCCCATTTGGGAAACTGAAGGTTGTTAGGTGTCCTTAGAGTGTGGCACTGAAAGGAGGACTTGGGGAGTGATGGCTAAAGAAGAACCAGACCACACAGGGCCTTTATGCATGGCTAAGTGTTTGGACTTTTTTCTAGGGGAGGCTGAAATATGGTGCATGGAGTACTCTCTTCTACTGTGTTGGAGAAAAATTACCCTAGTATCTGCACAGGAAAGAAATTGGAGGGGAGGGAAAGAGACAGAGACACTAGTTAGAAGACCAGTGTTATACCCCAAATGTATCCTGGGGATCTGCCCAGTTCCAACTCATTGTAGGTGCCTCATAATTATTTTTAAATAAGAGAATGAAAAAAATGAGTCTTTCTGCGTCACTCATATCTTGCTCTCTGGTGTCTTTCCCCCTCCTCTCCTGCCCCCCTAAAGGTGGTGGAATATATTGGGGCCAGGGGGCACTGGGTCCTTCCCAGATCTGAAGATCACCCCACCAAGATAAACTGCTACTTTGTCAACCTCTGGGGCAAGTTTGTCATCATTCAGGTTTATTATGACTGTTTCCACCTGGTCCTCACTTGTTCCTCCACGGAGCACTCTTGGAGCATTTATTATGAGGCAGGCATGAGCTGGGTGTATGGAGAGGGGAAAACACCATGTCTGCCCTCAAGAAGCCTATACCCTCTCCTCATCTTCAAGCCTCAGGCCGGGGCTCTGCAAACTTTGCCGATAAAAGGCCAGATGGTAAAAATTTTGGCTTTGGGAGCCATGTGGTCTGTTGCAACTATTCAACTCTTCCACTATGATGGTAAAGCAGCCATAGACAATAGCAAATAAACAGGCATGACTGTGCAACAATAAAACTTTATTTATGAACACAACAATTTGAATTCCATGTAATTTTCATGTGCCATTAAATATTCTTTTTTTTTTTGGCTGCACCGCATGCGGGATCTTAGTTCCCCAACCAGGGATCCTACAGTTGAAGCACGATGTCTTAACAGCTGGACCACCAGGGAACTCCTCAGTATTATTCTCCTTTTGACTTTTTTCAATCATTTAAAAAAAAAAGATTATTGTTAGCTCGGGGCCGTACAAAACCAGGTAAGGGCCAGGATTTGGCCCATGGGCTGCAGTTTGCTCATCCCTACCTTAGGCTGTCTCCTCATAATGTATGAACAAAAGCTCTTTCTTTTAGTAATAATTATGGTCACCACAACTTTCTCCTACCTACATCCCCTATTTCATGTCCCTCCTCCACCACGTACACACTCACCTAGTCCTGCATTTCTGCTCTTACAATGTAAACACGATGGACTGTGACCTCCCCCTGCTCAACAGCCGCTTCCAGGTGCCCAGAGCTGTACCCTGGCGTACATCCCAACCTCTGGGGCCCGGCTGCCTCTGCTCCTCGGGACCCCTCTCTGCTCTCCTTGTCAGTTTCCTCCACTGCCCTTTCTCACCTGCAATAACTCGTGTTCTGGCCCCTCCACACCGTTGACAGCTGCCCTTTCCAGGCTCTGCTCCTTGGCCCATTGCATTGCCTCAGCTTTGGATTCTTAATCTCCTTTCTCTCTGGCTAACTCCTGCTTGTTTCTAAGGCTCCGCCTGCATTTCAGCTCCGTGTCATCTTGAACCACATACCTGCAGGCAGAATTCACAGACCCCCTCTGGTTTCCCAGCGCTCCGTGCGTCCTGGCAAACCCGGAGTACCTTGAGGGTTGTGTCTTGTCCTCTTTCAAGCACCCGCTGCAGTGTGGAGCACATGGTGGATGCTCTGTGGACATTTTAATGAATTCTCAAATGTCAAGACCCCTCTTTATATACTTTCTAAAACTGTAGGTATCGTATGTACACTCTTTTATTGGTTTCCTTTTCCTGGTTTCATGTGTTATTGCTACTATTAAATTTTAAGTTTATAAGTGCAGACATAGTCTATTTTGTAGTAGACTTCCTTCCAAATACATAAAATAACATTCTGTGGCTCGTGGGTTCTCCTCTGGGGCCTCCAGGTGACCATGGTGGGCTTTCATTAGAGTATCTCTAACCAACTTGCCTAATACGGGCCACAGAATGTTACCGAGGCCCTGATAGGTCTCTTTTTTTTGACAGGTGAGGAAAGTACAGCTTTATAAAGATAAAGCAGCTGACCTGAGGACGCTGGTCAATGACAAAAACAGAAGAAGGGCCGGAAACAAGGCCTTGGTATTACCAGAATTTGAGTTTTTGATCCAGTTTGCAAGGTTAAAGTATTGAGCTCTGAATGTGGATTTGTAATTTATGAGAGAGTAGGTGTAGGGAGGGTGGCGGGATGGGGGCGTGCCTGGGAAGCTGGGCAGTGGTGACCTTTAGCGCCTCGCTTCTTCTGAATAGGATTCCTTGTTTGCTAGTCCTCCCAGCCCCTTTCTCGCTTCTCCACTATATCAGTCATTCCCTTAAAACAGTGACACTTATTATGGCTGGCAAACAAATGGTCGGGAACTAGGCAACTCCAATTATTGAACTCAGCATGTGAAATCATTTAATCAGAGCTCACAGGACTGAGGGGCAGTATTAAAAAGAAATAGGCACCCTGTCTGGTCCCCAGAATGAACTCTTTTCAGGAGAGAAGAGAGCTTATACTATTTATTGTGGCAGAAAGAAGATATACTGTAGTATTTAAATGAGAAAAGGGCTAGATGATAAGGGCTAGGAGACCAGGATTCCACTTGAACTCCATTCCTGATTTCTTTTTTTCAGTTTAATTTTGGAACAGTTATTTAATTAGAGTGTAACTCAGTTTCCCCACAATAACATAGAACCACTGCTATTTGTATCTTTTAAGATCTCTTAACGATACTGCCCTGGAACCTGGGTCAGAGCTCTCTGCCTCATCTTGCATTCATCCAAGGGGTTGTAGTTACTGAAAGGCCAATAGAGCCTCATTTTAAAGTGGCTTCAGCTGCAAGATGTGTGCCATGGTGCTGGTTGCACTGTGTACACAGATATATTTGTAAATGCTTAGAAGCCATAAGCACACATTTAAAAAGTAATTTTGTGTTCACCACCGTTTGCCTTTTTTTATGGTATAAGCAGCCTTTTGTTAAATGTGAGGTTATAGGGGATAAATGTTGTTCTGGGAAATGTAATAATTGGAAAATACATTGAAGACTGATCCAGACAGAGATGCTGAAGGTGGCAACAGTCCTTCCTTCACATCATTTCCAGCTTCTTTTGGTCGCCTCTTGGGAAGGAGCTTCCCAGGGCTGAGCTGCACTGGGGCAAGAGGCCGCCAGGGGACAGCCGGCCTTCTCACCAGCCCCGTCACTTGGAACAAGTGTGCACATGGTGGACACACATGCCCTCTCCCAAGGCATGGAAAACACTTGCTCTATTTGTCCTCAAGAATCTTTCATATTCTTTTCTGAGAAAAACAAATTAAAACTCTCCTCCTGACTGACAGAATTTAAAGAATAAATACACAATCATGGGAAGTAGGATACAACTTCCAAATGACCACATAGAATGTGCTTTCCTCACAACATACAGAGGCATACGTCATTAAGAAGTCCACAAACAATAAATGCTGACCATGTGGGGAAAAGGGAACCCTCCTTCACTGTTGGTGGGGATATAAATTGGTGCAGCCACTGTGGAGAACAGTATGGAGGTTCCTTTAAAAATAGAGTTATCGGGCTTCCCTGGTGGCGCAGTGGTTGAGAGTCCGCCTGCCGATGCAGGGGACACGGGTTCGTGCCCCGGTCTGGGAAGATCCCACATGCCACGGAGCGGCTGGGCCCGTGAGCCATGGCCGCTGAGCCTGCATGTCCGGAGCCTGTGCTCCGCAACGGGAGAGGCCACAACGGTGAGAGGCCTGCGTACCGCAAAAAAAAAAAAAAAATAGAGTTATCGTATGATCTAGCAGTCCCACTCCTGGGCATATATTCAGAGAAAATTATAATCTAAAAAGATACATGCACCCCTGTGTTCATAGAAGCACTGTTTATAATAGCCAAGACATGGAAGCAACCTAAATGTCCATCCACAGAGGAATGGATAAAGAAGATGTGGTACATATATACAATGGAATATTACTCAGCCATAAAAAAGAATGAAATAATGCCATTTGCAGCAACATGGATGGACCTAGAGATTATCATACTAAGTTAGGTAAGTCAGAGAAAGACAAATACTACATGATATCACTTGTGTGTGGAATCTAAAATATGATACAAGCGAACTTATTTACAAAACAGAGATAGACTCACAGAGAGAACAAACATGGTTACCAAAGGGGAAAGGGGCAGGGAGAGAGAAATTAGAAGTTCGGGATTAGCAGATATAAACTACTGTATATAAAATAAACAACAAGGTCCTACTGTATAGCACAGGGAACTATATTAAATATCTTATAACCTATAATGAAAAAGAATATGAAAAGTTTTATATATATATATATATATATATATATATATGACTGAATCACCTTGATGTACACTGGAAACTAACACATTGTAAATCAAGTATACTTCAACGCCCACCCCACCCCGAACCATACAGAGGCATGAGCTAAAACCTAATAATCCATTAAATAAAATTAATTTTACTTAAACACTGCCTATATATATACACATATATGGCATATACAGGTAGATTTTTTTTTGGCATCTTTTTATTTCAGTCCTTATCGTGTTTCAGAGTTGTCCTCTTATATCAGGTAGCTTCAAGAGGCTACACACGAGCCACATGTTGCATAGACAGCCAAGGTGGGTAGTGTGCAGTGTGGATGGTGCAGGAATTACTGGGGATTCGACACACTTTTTTGGTTCATGCAGGCTTCATGAAGCCTAGACTCTGTATCAGGTCTTGGAAGTGGGCTTGATGAGGATTTTAATATGCACTGTTTCTCATTTCATCTGAACTGAACTCTCTGGGGTCCGATGTCCGTGGAGGAAACTGGATTCATTTGCCTTAAGCAAAACATCATATTCTTCCTGCTTGGATAGTGAAACCTGGAGGGAAAGAAGGGCTAACAGGAGGCCAAGGGTGAGTAGTGAACAGGCCTACGTTAATCACTTTAATTTGATCGATCAAACAGACTCACAGAACCCTGTCACTTTTTTTTTTTAATCTTCATACAAGTTTTTTTTTCTGATATTTTTCTTTCTGTTTCTTTTGTTTTTTAATCTCTAGTTTTTTCTTTATTCCCCCCCCCCAGAAACAAACAAAAATATTCAAAAGACAGGTTTTGAGAACTATAACCAAGAAAAGTCATTCCCAGGAGAAAACATACTGAAGCACACGTTGGCTTTGGGCCTAATGCAGCCAAGAAATGATCTTTTAAAATATTCTGATCAGGGGCTTAGAAAACAGAAGGTTTAAGACTTCAGCTCAGAAGAGTATGATTATCTTGAAGCGGATGTGGTAGTTCCAGCCACGTAATTTTAGACATTCTAATTGGCAGTTTAAAAATAGCAGAGTTGCAGCCTCATCTTCTGGGCTATTCCCTTTGTTTTGTCCTTGACTGTGCTTTGTATTGAGGGAGTCTTCTGATGGCTGGGGCAGGTCTGGGAACCATGCATCCCTGGGTTCTCATCTACCATCTCCCAGGCCTGCCTGCCTCTGCCCTGAGATACCACAAAGGTAATAAAACTTATATTTTCTTAGGAATGCTCCCAGCCTCTGACTCACAGACATATTCCCCTTCCTTCCCTAATAACTAGGTGCTTAAAAGTTGCACTTCGATGATGCTATTGAATTAAATCCATCTCTGGGCACCTTAAGCTTCCAGCTGAACTGCATCATTTTCTTGCCAGGTAATAAGTACTTTAGGATGTGATCAAGAAAAGGAAAACACTGATTTCAAATAACCAATTATTTGCCATATTCTTTTCCATATTTGTGTGAGGCAGTGTCCATGTGCTGAAACACGTTTGTTCTTCTTTGCTACTGTTTCAATTGGCAGCAAGATAACATATCAACGTAGATACCTACAACAAAGCTGCCTCTTTCCCTTTCGCATTTTCAAGGAGCCCTAGGCGTCCCGTCTGGTCGGGCATGAAGTTGCTCATCGTCACCCAGTTTCACTCTCTTGAGTTTCCCTTCTTGAGACACTGGCCGCATCACTGAGGGAGGAGCGGGGCTGGGGTAAGAATTGCCTGGAACTGTCTTATCCAGGCAGAGGGTTTGGTGGGACCTGTGCAGGGAGATTCTCAAACCCTGTAGGATGTGGTTTATTATCCCTGCTTTAAGTTTTATTGCCAAGGAATCTTATACTTTCCCAACCAATGAGTCCACAAAAGCATAAACTATATTAAGTCTATAAATCCCAGAGTGCCAAATCTCTGGAGTAGCAAGCATCTGCTCTCTAACCTGCAGTGAGTAATAAATCTCCCTGTCCATTTGCATGGAGGGCTTTCAGTGCAGAGAGAGCACTGATGTTCTCTGGGCATCCTTTCTTCCTGCTCTTTTCCTCAGGGGGCCTTGAATTCAATGCTCTCTTACAACTTAAACACTCTTATAATGCACCGTTTTTAAAAAATAGGAAAACAAGAAAAAAAAAAGTTGTCTTTACCTGGCTGGTTAGATGCAGGAGGTGAAGCCTGCTGATATGAGGCTTGTCTTTCATCCTAAACTCTTGGAAACAAATGAGGAATATTAACCGAGGTGTGTGTCCCTCTCCACACTACTCAGTGTCTTCTCCAAGCCTCCTCCCGCGAGCCAGTAAGGAGAATACTATTCACATGAGAACGGGGTCCAGTCTGTCTCTCACTTTTCCCAGGAGTCTTGGTAAGAAAAGCAGCCTTGCTGCCCGGCAGGGGTGAAGGACAACCTGCGCTCTCCTTTCACAGGAGAGGAACATGAGGAAAGGTTAAGAATACACTCAGATGGTTCTCAGTGGGGCGAGACTAGGTGTGGTGGACAGAAATCATTATTTAAATTACTTGGCCCATTTTCCTTTCATTATATACCCATCGTAAAGGAATGGGACACCAAAGGTCCTGCATCCCTGAAGAACAAAAGTACAGTCACGCCTATTTTTCCGTGGACTCATGGAATTGAGCCTTCTTTTCCTGGTCCCTTATTGCTTCACATAGTACAGTCTTCCTTCTGTGCTTTGAAAAGCATCCTTATTACTCTTCTAATCCTATCTCTCCTTTACATCTTGCTAACAAGGCCTTCCACATATTTGCAGGTATTGGGTTGTGAGCCATTTTCCCTCTACTTTTTTTATTTGTAAATTACTTGATTTATTTGTAAATTACTTTTTAAAAAATTAATTGATTTTATTTTTAGAACAGCTTTCAGTTTATAGAAAAATGAGCAGAAAGTACAGAGTTCCCATATACTCCCTCACTCCCCCAGTTTCCCTATTATTAATAACCTTTCCTTTTAATTAACATTATGAACAGCAGTACCAGACAATGATAATTTTTGTGAGGAGGAAGGACTTTCACCTACAGTGTCTCATTTAACAGACTGTTCAGGAAACAGGGGTGTCACATGATTGCTGATTGTGGACATAGGACCTCGGAACAGGAGTGTAGTCTAGTGGTGGAGGTGACGGTGGCAGCAGCTGGGAAATCCCCCAGCTGGTGTTCTCAGTGACCCAACCCACATCCGCGGAATGCATTCAAGGAGTGGGGATCAAGTTGGGGCTACCAGGAAAGAAGAAAGAAATGAGGCTGTTTCCTTTGGCTGCTACAACTACAACAATCACCACAAACTTGGTAACTTAAAACAAGACAAATTTATTATCTTACTGCTCTTAATGTCAGAAGTCTTAAATGGGTCTCACTGGACAAAAATTAAAGTGTCAACAGAGCTGTGTTCCTTCTGGAGGCTCTAAGGGAGAGTCTGGGTCCTTACTTTTCCTATTTTCTAGAGGCCACTCACGTTCCTTGGCTCACAACCTCCCTTTCCATCTGCAAAACCAGCAATGGCTGGTGGAGTCTTTCTCATGTGGCATCTCTCTGACACTGACTCTCCAGCCTCTCTCTTTCACTTGTAAGGACTTTTGTAGTTAAATTAGGCCCACCTGGATAAACCAGCATAAGCTCTCCATTTCAAGGTGAGCTGATTAGCAATCTTAATTCCATCTACAACCTTAATTCCCCCTTGTCAGGTGAAGTGACATATTCACAAGTTCTGGAGATCAGGAAGTGGACATCTTTGGGGGTCATTGTTCTGCCAACCACACAGGGTATTATCCTAGAGAAGTAGAGCCTGGGATCAAAGTCACCAGTGAATCACAATCTCATCCTTCTCAGGAGTAATTAGAAATAGGGCCCAACCTCCTCCTTTAGCTCAAATGTCACTTCCTCCAGGAAGCTTTCTGTATCTGCTGATCAATATAGGAGATACTAGACCTATGGGGCACTTGAAATGTGGCTAGTCTGAACTGAGATGTGTTCTAAGTATAAAATACACACCAGATTTCAAAGACTTAGTACAAAAAAAAGAATGTAAAATATTTTTATGGTAATGATTTTTAAAATATGTTATACATTGAAATGATAATATTTTGGTATATTATGAAATTGATTTCTCCATATTTTTCACTTCTTAAATTGGCTTCAAGAAACTCTAAAATTGAGTATCTGGCTTGTACTCTATTTTTTCTGGACAGTGCTGCTCTGTAAGAACTCCAGGCTGAACCCAAGTGCTTCCTCTGTGTGCTCTTACGGTCCCTTATTCAGACCTCAGATATTTACCTATAGCATAATTATCAATTTGCATGACAATTTTTCCCACCACACAGTGAGTTGTTAAAGGACAGAGACTGTATCTTTTTGATCATTGTATCTCTAGTGCTAGTAGAGTGCCTGGAATGTTAGAGTAATAATAATTATCATAATCATAATTAACACTTATATTGTACTGTGTACAAGGTTTTGTTCCAAGCGCTTTACACAATAACTCAATCCTTATAACACTCTCTAGTTGTATGCGTTTAGGGAAGTTATTTTTAACATTTTATGCCTCAGTCTCCTCACCCATAGTATGAGGCTAGTAATAGTACCTACCTCAAAGCTGCTAATTACGTGAGAATTAACTAGTTATTTTATACATACACATATTTACATATATACATACATATTGCTAGGGATAGGTTTGACCTCAGGCAAAACCTCAAAGGTGGAATTTTCTTTTGCTTAAGGTCCGATGAACTCAGAGAACAGACTGGAGTTGGCCACGGCTGGGAAGTGTGAAGCCCTGCCCAGCATGTTCTGAGCCGCCTGGAAGAGTACAGCCTGCAGAAGTGGGTAAGAGGAAATTGCTGCTCCTGTTTCCAGGCCGCGAGCACCCCCCCGCTTAGGGAGAAGCTCCCCATTCACTTTGCTGTCCCTCACCTGATACATTGATTCTAGAAAATCAGGGACAGATGAGGGTATCCGCGAACCCACCCAGGGTCTTCTGCACATGACCTGCCAAGGGGATGTACGAGGACTTAGTGGTGAGATGGAGTTTGCTAACGATTTCTCACTGAACGTAGCAGCTTTACACATAAAGTTATTCAGTTCCTGAAGCTTGGTATATATGTTACCAATCAAGGCAAAGTATATATGTTACAAATCATTATTTTAAAAAGAAAAACTAATTTTAGACCATGACTCCAAAGCCAGTTGTCCACATAGTCACCTCAAGGAGTTTATTGGAGCCACCAATAAATCGTTCACTTCTAGCATTTGGTGTGAGGGTCTCCTCTAGATGCAGCTTTGTCTGTCTCGAAGACCTGCAGCCCTGATGAATCCCCACTTGCAGTCTCTCTGGTTCCTTCTCAAGCTATTAAAAAGTCGAGGTCACTCTGCAAGGCTTGGCCTGTAAATTTCAAACTCCCAGCCTAAACATGCACAAAGTGTATGAGTGGGTCTCCAGCAGATTTCACTGCCACGGGGAGGTGAGGGAATCAAAGGCAGGGGGTTGGTCTCTAAAAGGCCTGGAGAAATTTATGGCTCAATTTAAAACCACTTGTAGTTTATCAAAGCAAAGGAAATGTAATCGCCAGCTTTGGGGCAGGAGTAGATTTTCTGTTAAGAGTGAAAGGGGCGCCTGTCTTTCTACCCAGTCTTCCATAACAGCAGAATCTTTCCCCAAATCCCACAAATTTGGCAACAAAGCAGTCTCTTTTTGACGTGACCAATGATGAAACAGAATTTATAAATGTCAACACTGCCTTTCTAATCCTTGACTAATTGGGGAGGCCAGGAGCCTCGTGGGATGGCTCAGTGATGTCACACAGCAGTAGAAATACAAAGCCCAGGCGGATATAAACCTGTGGGTTTGGTCTCAAACTTGACCATATACCTGCAAGACCTTTGCCAAGAAAACTAACTGCCATTCCTGAGAGGAGTGAAATAGAGGATCCCTCAGTCGAGTGTTTATTAGTTCTTTGATGGTGTTTAGGAGTTCAGTTTGCAAGCCACACATGCAAGTACATTGAAGCACGTTTGTGGTTTTCTCTATGTATAATATCTAGGCTCTGGGAGATAGATGTTGCACATTTTCTATTAGGTGGTAGTTAGTAGGAACAGAAACCTGGCTAAAGAGGCTTAAACACACAGTTGCCATGCAGAAAGTTATTTCTCCCATGTATTAAAAAGTCTGGAGGTAAGTAGAGACTGTCCTTAGTTCAGTGGCACAGAGATGTCAGAGCTAAGGTCTCTGTGATTTGCTTGGCTGCTGGAGCTCGAGTCATCACTTCTGAACCTCAGGCAGTAGAAAGGGCAGAAGGGGAAACAAGGGTTTTATTGAAAGCCTCAGCCAATGACTTCTGCTAACATCACATCAGCCACACTTAAATATAAAGGAGGCTGGAAATTTTAAGTTTTTTCCCCCACTGGGCACTTTTTTGTCTCCAGTAACTGGGAAAAGAGGGTGAGGGTGGATTTGGGATAGGCAACTAGAAGTTACTTTCTAAATTTACAGCCAGCAATTCAGTAGTGTGGGAAGATATGAATCCAGCCTCAAGGTTCACGTGAACTGAAGTTGTTTGCGGGCTGATCAAACTCTTCTCAGTGTATATGCATTTATTACCTACTACTCTTCTCTCTTTCTCCTTATATTATCTACCTACAAAGCCCTTCGCTCTCCTTAAGATCAGGAGTCATTTCTTATTTGCTTTCTTATTTGGTCTAAGAGTGATATTTGGTCCAAGAAGAGATATTTATCGAGTTGAATTGTTTGATGAATAGGGATTGAATTGGATGCTGGGTGGTAGAAATATTTACACAAATACTGTATAAAACAATCTTTGATGTATTCAATAGTTTTAGGTTGAGCAAAAAATTACTAGGGAAATATGTCTTCTGTTTTTGTTCAAGGAGTTTAGATTTTAAGAGTGACAAGAAACATTTGAAGAATTTTGTTTTTGTTTCCCAAACTTATTTAGAAATAATTTACAAATATAATTGTATATATTTAAAGTGTACAATGTGATGATCTGATATACATCTACATTGTAGAGTAATTACTACGATCGAGATTATTAACATATGCAGCATTTCACATAGTTAACTCTTTTTGGTGTGTGGTGAGAATGTTTAAGAGCTACTCTCAGCAACTTTTAAGTATATAATACCATATTATTAGCTATAGTCACCATGTTGTGCATTAAATCCTCAGAGCTTATTCTTCATATAATGAAAATATAATGTACCTACATCTCCCATTTCCCTCTCCCCACCAGCTTCTAGCAAACACCATTCTATTCTCTGTTTCTATGAAATTGGCTTAAAAAAAATACTATATGTAAATGCTACCACACAGTATTTTTCTTTCTCTGACTTATTTCATATAGTTGTTCCATCCATGTTGTTGCAATTGGCAAGATTTTCTTTTTTAAGTCTGAATGATATTCTAACATATAAATTTTCTTTATCCATTCATCCATTGAAAGACATTTAGATTGTTTCCATATCTTGGCTATTGTGAATAATGCTGCAATGAACATGGGAGTGTAGATATTCCTTTGAGATACTGATTTTGTTTCCTTCAGATATTTACCCAGGAGTGGAATTGCTGGATCACATGGTAGTTCTACTTTTAATTTTTTGAGGAACCACCATACTGTTTTCCGAAAAGATTATACCAAGGAGAAATGTCTTCTTTAACACTTCTGCAAGATATATTACCCATAGGACTGAGCTTGAATGAGGGAATAAAACACAGGCTTCATAAGCATTCTTCCCCACCCATCTTATTTCTATATTATTATTCTATAGAACTCCTCCCTCCCTCTTTTATCTGAAAAGAGATTACTCGATCAGTCAACAATAGCATCTACAACATACCATGCAAGTCAAGACGTTGGATCTACCGGTGATTCCTCATCCTGGCTGCAAATCAGAATCACCTGGGCAACTGTTTTAAAATACAGATTCCCAGGGATTCATTCAGAGATTCTGATTCAGAAAGTCTGGGGTGGTGTTCCAGAGTCTGTAACTTTACAGAGCACTCCAGATAATTCTGATGTGCCACCAGATATAGAAATCCTTGGGACAGAGCCCTTCCTTCTTTGTACCACTGTCATGGCTCCCCTGGAGAGCATCTATAGGATGCTACAGAAGCTTGTTCACGTGTCTAATTCTGCCAAACTCTTAAGGTGGAGACTGTCTTTTCTCGTAGCATCCCTTCTGAGCCCAGTGTCTGAGTGTCTAGTGCATAGTAGGTGCTCCATAATTATCTGTTACATTGTTTAAACAAATGGAATGTATAATTATCCACCTCCACAGAGTGCTTCTGAGAACACTAGCACAAAGAAGCTTGTCTTATTACTGAGCAACCTGCTTAACTTAGTGCTCAGGGGCAGAATGAGCTATGGAAGTGACCACAGAGGGATTTCTAATGAACTTGGTGGTAAGTCACCTTGACAGCCCTGAGATTCTTGAACTTTTTTAAAAAAACAAAATAGCATATTTACAAATAATTGTGGTGCCAGTTACCTATGGTGATTATAAGACTTATTTGAAAGAATTCATGTAAAGTGCTTAGTGCAGTGCCAGGAGCAAAATGATAAATGTTAGATGATGATAATGACAATAACAATTATAAGAGAAAAGCCTTCTTATTAAAAAACTTAGAATGTTTAGAAAAATATAAGAAAGAAACCAAAAATTTACCCTTAATCTTGCCAGCAGAATCAGTAACCTTGAATTTATGATTTTTTCAGTTTTTTCCCCAAGCATCTATATTAGCAGTACTTTTAAAATATATAAAGTATATATTAAAAGTGTATATTATATGTTTTTGAATGGCCAGTAAGCACATGAAAAGATGCTCAGCATCACTAATCATTAGGGAAATGCAAATCAAAATCACAATGAGATACCACCTCACACACATTAGTATGACTACTATCAGAAAAACAGAAAATCACAAGTGTTGACGAGGATATGGGGAAATTGGAAAATTTATGCACTGTTGGTAGGGATGTAAAATGGGACGGCCACTGTGAAAAACAGAATGGCAGTTCCTCAAAAAATTAAAAATAGAATTACCATATGACCAGAAATTCCACTTCTGGGTATATACCCAGAATAATTGAAAGCAGGGTCTTGAAGAGGTATTTGTATAGTGCTGTGTACTGAATTATGTCCCCTCAAAATTTATATACTGAAGCCCTAGCCCCCAATAAGATGGCATTTAGAGATGAGGCCTTTGGGAAATAATTAAGTTTTTAAAAAATTTTTATTTTATATTGGAGTATAGTTGATTAACAATGTTGTGTTAATTTCAAGTGTACAGCAAAGTGATTCAGTTATACATATACATGTATCTATTCTTTTTCAAATTCTTTTCCCATTTAGGTTATTATAGAATACTGAACAGAGTTCCCTGTGCTATACAGTAGGTCCTTGTTGGTTATCTATTTTAAATATAGCAGTGTGTACATGTCAATCCCAAACTCCCAACTTATTCCTCCCCCCCCGACCCTTCCCCCCTGGTAACCATTAGTTCATTCTCTAAGTCTATTTCTGTTTTGTAAATAAGTCCATTTGTATCATTTTTTTTAGATTCTGCATATAAGTGATATCATATGATATTTGTCTTTCTCTGTCTGACTGACTTCACTTAGTATGATGATCTCAAGGGAAATAATTATGGTTAGATTAGGTCATGAGAGTGGGGCCCTCATGATAGGATTAGTGCCCTTATAAGAAGAGACATCATTATAAGAAGATACCACTTATGAGATACCTAGAGTAGTCAAAATCATTAAGACAGAAAGTAAAATGGTAGTTTCCCTGGGCTGGGGAGAAAGGGGAATAGGGAGTTATTGTTTAATTGGTACAGAGTTTTTGTTTGCAAGATGAAAAGACTTCTGGAAATGGGTGGTGGTGATGGTTACGCAACAATATAGATGTACGTCATACCACTGAACTGCACACTTAAAAATGGTTAAGATGATAAATTTTATGTCATGTGTATTTTAACACAATAAAAAAAACTAAAAAGATATATGTTTTAATATATTTAATATTTTATTTTAAACATATTAATTTAAATATATAAGGTAATATAGTTTAAATATACCTTATGTTACATATAATATAAATAAAAAATATAGATTTAGAAATCTAAGCTTTGTATCAAGCAAAGTTTGAGCTGGCTATTTATGCCTCACCCATTGCACCAGCTTCATTGGTCTGAGCTCCGTTGGCCACCCCTCTCTCTTCCTTTCTGTACAGAACCCAGCCCACCACTCTGCACAGGCCAACCTGGGGTGGCAAGCCCAAACTGTTCTCACAGGGATGATGGTTAGTGTGAGCAGAGCCTGAACAGCCTGGTCCTGTCGTGGGGCTCTGCTGAGCTCTGGGTCACCATATTGCCAACAAGGGGAGCTTTGTCCCCCTCAAGCTGTTAGCATGTTCATTACCAGCCCTCCCTCTGCTGCCAGTCGGAAAGATGACACGCGGCCGTCTCTTGGTTGCCACACGTTAAGCCTCATCTCACAATGGGCACTTGGTCTGGAGCTATCCCGGGTGTTTGAAAGCGACATTGCTGTTTCCTACAAGCTGAGACCCATGAGTCATTTCCAGCCAAAGGTAAAAATTTACATTTCAATGATCAGCAAGTTTGAGTGCATTTAAGAAACTGGCCAGAGTTGCTGGGCCCCTATACACAGGTTTTGTTAATGAATTTTGGCAGAGGGGAGCTGCATTCGTAGGCTAAGTATTAGAACAAAAAGGACCTGTTTTCCCATGTAATGAATTGCTGAGAAATTATTCAAAATGTGGCTTAAAAAGCCTCTTGCCAGCAAGCTCAATTCTCTGAGTCATGAATTAGATAATGGGCTTTTATAAACCCACAGAGGGAAACCCTCTGAGGATTTTGTGGGTGAGCAGAGAATGTCTGTCCAGGACTGCCACCTTCTCCCAAGTGCTTCTGCATGATGCAGAGGCCCAGGGACCTTGTCTACAAATGTCAAGGCCAACTGGACCACCGTCAAGGGTGTAATCAGGGGTGCTCACCCTGAACGTTTGCCCAGCACACAGCTGTAGGTCTCACCAGAACACAGCAGAGTGCTGCGCTGCCCGGCCCCAGGAAACAGAGGCCGCTGGGGGAAGAACGGTCTGGTGGACAAGGCAGGCCTCCTCCCCAGCACCATCACCTTCCTAAAGATGTGGTCCCTGACCCCACCCACAGCCCTAATTCAAATAAGACCCAAGCCTCCCATAAGACTAAGGCTTAGAGCTCCTAGGGGTATAAGAGGGACACTTTGAAGGTGATTCCTTAGAAACTAAGCTACACATAACAGGAACAGAGTCCCTTTCACAAACAGAGCTCCAAGAATGAAGGAGGTAGTCACCAACCAAGAGCGTCTCAGACTGTGACAGTAGAACTTCATGATGTCCTCTAACCAAGCTCTCCCTAAGGTCAAGGGCACTCATGGGCACACAGAGCTATTCAATGTATTTTTTTCCTTTTTCCCCCCACCTGAATGTTCTCTGCTATAAAAGATACAAACTGTTTCTACCCCCACAGGGAACCTTGCCCTGTGTAACTTTGATTACCTCTCAGGCTAGCTGCCTGCCTTGACCCAAGTATAGCTCAGATTCAACTATGCCTCTTACCCGCTGCCCACTTTGGCTGCATGTGCCCTTGGACCACCAGCTTGGAGCTCTGGCCTGGCTCCCAATAATCACTTGGGCATGAGGACAACCTGGATGAGACATCTGTCAGCCCAATGATGGCCAAGATAATCTGGCAACACCTCCTTTTTCTGATTCCTAAGACATTCCAAAAACTGTTTAGCAGTCTCATATAACTAGTGGCCATAGAAGCCATGAAGGATTGCCTCTGTAAACTTTACATGTTGTTTGAGAGGGAAATAAGCACAGAGAGGCAAGAAGGGTTTTTCTTATAGTGGAGCCAGAAAGATACAATGGGTGAGAATGCCCTCAAATCACCCCAGTATAAAAGTTTAAGAAGGACAGAATTCCCTTCTTAGATAGTACTGGGCCTGGAGATGTCATTCTGGGAGTGACAACTCCCATGTTTCTACTTCCAATGGCTTGCACTACTCTCTCCCAAAACTTCAAGGTTCAATGAAGTGTAGACCTAGGAACTCACATCTACTCCTGGGAACTAAAAGGGCAGGTTGATATTAACAAGAGTTTTGGTGGATTCTGGAGGTGTGGGCTCGAAGCTGTTCGGCTTGTGTGGTTAGAACACTGCAATAAGCAGACTAAGTTCATATAGCCAGACGGCCCAGCCAGCATTCTTCCCATCTGTGGCTATACTTGTCACCCCTAGTTTTATGTATGGTCACATTGGGATGATGAGTGTGTGTTTATGTCATTCCTCCTTTAATTCAGTAAGTCTGTATTGAGTACAATGCCCAGCATTTTAGTAGAAGCTTCAAGATATAAAAATAAGTGTAAGTTATGAACTAGTTGAGAATTTCCTCAAATTTATCTTTTTCCTCTTCATCGGAAGGCTCTCAGCTGATAACTTTAACTGGAAAACTCAGCCTCGAGTTCTCAGCCATTGTGATTCAAGTCAGCAAGGTATTAGCAGCTACAGACCCTCCAGAGGTTGTAATCTGGGATTTGTCTGGCAATGGCGAGCCCCAGATCAAAGCCAGCACCCCGGTCCTCATGAGTGTGCTCTGATTACCTTTGTTTCTTGATTGATACCTGAGGTTCCCTGCGGGATGTGAAGTTTTGGCTAGCTTTTGCCAGTATGTATTCTTGAGGGAGGAATACAGATCTCTCAGTAACCAGCATTGCTGAGTGGAACCCTGTACTCAGGGCTCCACTCAGCCCTCAGGACTTTGACATGTTCACCCCTTGACTTGCATATTGTCTGCTGCCTTATGCCACTTACCACCTGAGGATCACGTGGCTCTTGATGCCATTTGGTCAAAGCCAAGGGCAGCATTTGCATTTGGACGACTGGCCAACAATCCTTCTTGATCCACCCTTGGTTCTATTATGTCCTGGCCTTCTCGGTCTCCCTGGCTTACACTGAGGTCCCTACATGAATTGGAGCTGAAATCCCCGAGAAATAAAAACCTGTGATAGACAAACTCCACCATCCTATTTATGCCAGTTGTCAGTACTATTCCTTTCCCATGTAGTTAGCACCCAGTATCATGATATCTCAAAGAGCTTCCAAAATGAGGGTTCTTTCACCCTCTAACTGACTATCCCTCCAAATGCTTAAACCCAACCATTCCATCTGTTTAAGGAAAAGAATTTTAAGTCCCCATTTCTACACAGCCTTGTTCTTCTTAATCATGTACCTCTAGGTTGAAAACCCAGAAGTTTAGAAGGGAAGATAGAGGAGTGAGAAACCTGTATGAACAATAAGTATTAGCTGAACTACAAGTGAGTTAGCGATAAAATATAATGAGATGTAAAATATAGTAAGATGAAAAGGATGAGACCTAGAGAGCATTTAAAGATGTTGAAAGTAACACATGATTTATCCTTATTTTTAAAGTTATTGAATTGCCCTGTGGTGCACATCTGCATTCTTTTCTTGCTATCTATGCTCCTTTTTGTTTGTTTGTTTGTTTGTTTTTTTATGGTACGCGGGCCTCTCACTGTTGTGTCCTCTCCTGTTGCGGAGCACAGGCTCCGGACGCACAGGCCCAGCGGCCATGGCTCACGGGCCCAGCCACTCCGTGGCATATGGGATCTTCCCGGACTGGGGCATGAACCCGTGTCCCCTGCATCGGCAGGCGGACTCTCAACCACTGCGCCATCAGGGAAGCCCCTAACTATGCTCTTTTATGTGGATAAAATTCCTCTTCTTTTTTTTCATTCTATTCTCATGCTCTGCTCATGCAGCACCTCTGGCTACAAGGGTCCATGTGGACTGGTCTTGCTAATCAGAAGACTGCACCCCCAGCTATGGGATTAGACTAGGGTGAGCACATGTCTTAAGCCAGACAAATGAGAGGCAGCCCATTTTGGGGTAATGCTAATATTAAAGATTATGGGGGAAAAAAAAGACTATGGGAACATTTAATTGCTGGGAATGATTTTGTCCACCATGCAGAGACATCCTGCACAGAGGAGAGCAAGGCCTTAGAATGTAATGAAATAGATTCCTGATGACACCAATTGACCCAGCCATGCCAGAAGCCAGAAGACTTATGTTCCATGGACTATTCAGTGGTGTGAACAAATACATTATGCTTTCATTAAGCCAGCTCGTATGAAATTTCTCTCATTTTAAATCAAAAAGTTTCTGACAAGTATCTGCCTTATCTTTAGGATGATGAGAACTTAGCCTAGGACACAGTGAAAATTAGGAAGGAATCAAGTGGTGGGTGTTAATATAGCCAATAAATGAAGAACACACTTGTAGTGAGGAACACCTACGGCAATTTCACAGCAATTAACGGGGTCTAGCTTTCAAAAGCATTTCTTCTCTTTCATAGGGAGCTTGACATTTGAAAATGAAAAGATTTTACTGTAGAGGACCAGATAGTTATGACATGAAAAACACAGTTTTCAAACATGTTGGCTAAAGTCATTGGAAAGGGCTGCATGATCAAGCAAACTTGAGGGAAACCCAACTGTTTTTCAAGCATTTGGAACTAAAGTGGAATGAATCAAATGACAAATCTCTCTGCCCTTTCACTTTGTCATGAAAATACTAAGTGCTGAGCCTTATCATCAAAATGAACGTGTCATGATACAAAATTTACTTTAGCAATGGAATAATTTGCAGGCACTATGAATTGGTTACACAGAACAGAAAAAGAAAAGTATACAGAAAATGCTAAAGATGCCACCAGAAAACTACTACAGCTAATCAATGAATGTGGTAAAGTTGCAGGATAACAGTATTGCACAGAAATCTCTTTCATTGCTATACACTAATAACAAAAGATCAGAAAGAGAAATTAAGGAAACAATCCCATTTACCATAGCAAGAAAAAGAATAAAATACCTAGGAATAAACCTACCTAAGGAGGTAAAAGACCTGTACTCCGAAAACTATAAGACACTGATGAAAGAAATCAAAGGTGACACAAACAGATGGAGAGATATATCACGTTCTTAGATTGGAAGAATCAACATTGTGAAAATGACTATACTACCCCAAGCAACCTACAGATTCAATGCAATCCCTATCAAATTACCAATGGTATTTTTCACAAAACTAGAATAAAAACACTTAAAATTTGTGTAGAGACACAAAACACCCTGATAGCCAAAGCAATCTTGAGAAAGAAAAACGGAGCTGGAGGAATCAGGCTCCCTGACTTCAGACTATACTACAAAGCTACAGTCCTCAAGACAGTATGGTACTGGCACAAAAACAGAAATATAGATCAATGGAACAGGATAGAAAGCCCACATATAAACCCAGACACCTATGGTCACCTAATTTATGACAAAGGAGGCAAGAATATGCAATGGAGAAAAGACAGCCTCTTCAATAAGTGGTGCTAGGAAAATTGGACAGCTACATGTAAAAGAATGAAATTAGAACACTCCCTCACACCATACACAAAAATAAACTCAAATGGATTAAAGACCTAAATGTAAGACTGGACACTATAAAACCCTTAGAGGAAAACATAGGCAGAACATTCTATGACGTAAATCACAGCAAGATCTTTTTGACCCACCTGCTAGAGTAACAAAAACAAAAATAAACAAATGGGACCTAATTAAAAGCTTTTTCACAGTAAAGAAAACCATAAATTAGATGAAGAGACAACTCTCAGAATGGGAGAAAATATTTGCAAATGAAGAAACTGACATGGGATTAATCTCCAAAATATACAAACAGCTCACACAGCTCAATATCAAAAAAACAAACAATCCAATCCAAAAATGGGCAGAAGACCTAAATAGACATTTCTCCAAAGAAGACATACAGATGGCCAAGAAGCACATGAAAAGATACTCAACATCACTAATTATTAGAGAAATACAGATCAAAACTACAATGAGTTATCACCTCACAGTGGTCAGAAGGGCCATCATCAAAAAATCTACAAACAATAAATGCTGGAGAGGGTGTGGAGAAAAGGGAGCCCTCTTGTGCTGTTGGTGGGAATGTAAATTGATACAGCCACTATGGAGAACAGTATGGAGGTTCCTTAAAAAACTAAAAATAGAACTACAATATGACCCAGCAATCCGACTACTGGGCATATACTCAGAGAAAACCATAATTCAAAAAGACACATCGAGCTTCCTTGGTGGAGCAGTGGTTAAGAATCTACCTGCCAGTGCAGGGGACACAGGTTCAAGCCCTGGTCCAGGAAGATCCCACATGCCACGGAGCAACTAACCCTGTGCACCACAACTACTGAGCCTGCGCTCTAGAGCCTGCGAGCCACAACTACTGAAGCCCGCGCACCTAGAGCCTGTGCTCCGCAACAAGAGAGGCCACTGCAATGAGAAGCCTGTGCACCGCAAGGAAGAGTAGCCCCTGCTTGCCACAACTAGAGGATGCCTGTGCAGCAGTTAAGACCCAGTGTGGCCAAAAATAAAATAAAATAAATATATAAAAAAAAAGACACATGCATCCCAATGTTCATTGCAGCACTATTTACAATAGCCAGGACATGGAAGCCATCTACAGAAGAATGGATAAAGAAGAAGTACGTGCATACAATGGAATATTACTCATCCATAAAAAGGAACAAAATTGGGTCATTTGTAGAGACATGGATGGACCTAGAGTCTGTCATACAGAGTGAAGTAAGTCAGAAAGAGAAAAACAAATATTGTATATGAATGCATATATGTGGAATCTAGAAAAATGGTATAGATGAACTTTTCTGCAGGACAGGGATACAGACTCAGACATAGAGAATGAACGTATGGACACGGGGTGGGGGGAAAAGAGGAGTAGGATGAATTGGGAGCTTAGGATTGACATACATACACTACCATGTGTAAAACAGATAGCTAGTGGGAACCTGCTATATAGCACAAGCTCAGTTCGGTGCTCTGTGTTGACCTACATGTGTGGAATGGGCGGGAGGGGGGTGGGAGGGAGATCCAAGAGGGAGGGGATATATGTATACATATAGCTGATTCACTTCACTGTACAGCAGAAACTAACACAAGATTGTAAAGCAACTATACCCCAATTTTTTAAAAAAAGAAAAATAACAGTGGCTTGAACAGGACAAGAGCTTATGTCTGTTTCAAATAAAAGAAGTCTAAAAGCAAAGAACTGGAGCTTCTCTGGGGGCTCCACTAAGTCAGTAGAGACCCAGGGCCCCCAACCCCGGCTCTCTGCTCTGCCCGCCCTCATGCTCTAAGATAGCTTTTGAACTCCAGCCATCAAATCGTTGCTGCAGGCAGCCACATGAATGCAGAGACAAAGATCATACCTCTCCCTTAAAGATACTTCGCAGAAGTCAAATGTGATTCTATGGCCAAAATTTGGTCACATGATGTCTCTACTACTTGTGTAGCCTGGTGAAGGTAGTCGTTCAATTGGGTGGCAATCTGCCCAGATGCAGAGCGGGGATTATGTTAGAAGAGGGGTGAATGGATATTTGTGGGGAGGAGCCTGTGACAGGGTAGGGCAGGAATTCAGAGATACTGAATCTTTTAAGGCTAAAAGATGTCAATGCTTCTTAAATTCAATATGTTTGAAAGGAAGCTATTGAATGGTTCACGATCATGGATATTTGGACTCTTCTTTGAAAAACTTCATGTTTCACTTTTCTCTGTCTTGTTATTCACAAAAATCAAGTCCCCAAAATGCACACACACAAACTAGACATGGTTCCGTTACCCATGGCTTTTTTTTTTTAGCATCTTTATTGGAGTATTATTGCTTTACAATGTTGTGTTAGTTTCTGCTGTATAACAAAGTGAATCAGCTATTCGTATACATATGTCCCCATATCTCCTTCCTCTTGCGTCTCCCTCCCACCCTCCCTAATCTCACCCCTCTAGGTGGACACAAAAAACTGAGCTGATCTCCCTGTGCTATGCGGCTGCTTCCCACTAGCTATCTATTTTACATTTGGTAGTGTATATATGTCCATGCCACTCTCTCACTTCATCCCAGCTTACCCTTCCCCCTCCCCGTGTCCTCAAGTCCCTTCACTATGTCTGCGTCTCTATTTCTGTCCTGCCCCTAGGTTCTTCAGAACCTTTTTTTTTTTTAGATTCCATATATATGTATATGTATTAGCATACGGTAGTTGTTTTTCTCTTTCTGACTTAACTTCACACTGTATGACAGTCTCTAGGTCCATCCACCTCACTACAAATAACTCAATTTCTTTCTTTTTATGGCTGAGTAATATGCCATTGTATATATGTGCCACATCTTCTTTATCCATTCATCTGTTGATGGACACTTAGGTTGCTTCCATATCCTGGCAATTGTAAATACAGCTGCAATGAATATTGTGGTACGTGACTCTTTTTGACCTATGGTTTTCTCGGGGTATATGCCCAGTAGTGGGATTGCTGTGTCGTATGGTAGTTCTATTTTTAATTTTTTAAGGAACCTCCATACTGTTCTCCATAGTGGCTGCATCAATTTACATTCCCACCAACACTGCAAAAGGGTTCCGTTTTCTCCACAGCCTCTCCAGCATTTACTGTTTGTAGATTTTCTGATGATGGCCATTCTGACTGGTGTGAGGTGATACCTCATTGTAGTTTTGATTTGCATTTCTCTAATGATTAGTGATGTTGAGCATCCTTTCATGTGTTTACTGGCAATCTGCATATCTTCTCTGGAGAAATGACTATTTAGGTCTTCTGCCCATTTTTGGATTGGGTTGTTTGTTTTTTGATATTGAGCTGCTTGTAAATTTTGGAGATTAATCCTTTGTCAGTTGCTTCATTTGCAAATATTTTCTCCCATTCTGAGGGTTGTCTTTTTAATGGTTTCCTTTGTTGTGCAAAAGATTTTAAGTTTCATTGGGTCCCATTTGTTTATTTTTGTTTTTATTTCCATTACTCTAGGAGGTGGGTCAAAAAGGATCTCGCTGTGATTTATGTCATAGAGTGTTCTGCCTATGTTTTCCTCTAAGAGTTTGATAGTGTCTGACCTTACATTTAGGTCTTTAATCCATTTTGAGTTTATTTTTCTGTATCGTGTGAGGGAGTGTTCTAATTTCATTCTTTTACATGTAGCTGTCCAGTTTTCCCAGCACCACTTATTGAAG